GTTTTTATCACTACTAAGGAAGCAAAACTCCACCCCCACCCCCTGTGAATTGGTTTTTTCCAGCATGCTGGTGGCACCACCTGAGCTCAGAGGAGATTGCTCCTTCTAATCCTTCCATGTAGTTCTTTCCACGGCCCAGGGGCATTTCCTCACTTGCCTGTGCAATCAGCACAAAGAGGACAGTGAGGGCCGCTCTCTGAGGGTCTCTCCTTGTACTGCTCTCTCCTCCCCATCCTCTCTGCTCTGGGAACTTTAGCTGCCTAGCCTCCTGGACTCCAGCTCCATCTCCCCAAATTAGGGATACGATGAGGCCATGCCTGAGTCCCCCCATCTTGTGCCAGGGTCTTACAGTAAGCAGGGATGCTTATGCGGCCCTCCTTTTTCGGTTTTCCACCTCTTGGGGAGTGCTGCCTTTCACTGCCCCATAGCTAATGTCATCAAGTATTTTTATTCAGTTAATGCGTATGAGTAGGTAAATCCACTCCCTGTTACTTTATCTTGTTTGGAAGTGCAAGTCTTCCCAAATCTCATTTTAGAGTCACTTCCTAGAGTCTTCCTTGGTATCAGCCATTTTAGGCCAGTTCCAGGAAACAGACTCTAACATTCTGATATTTGCATGCATGGTGCTTATCAGTGAGTGTTCTCGGTAACATCTCTAAGCATGGAAGGCAAGCGGGACTGGGCAGAGAAAGCTGGGCTGTGGTGCTGCTGTAACGGAGCTCTTCACCAGTACTGAGGGAACTCTGGAGAGAGGAGGACCTTGCAGGGTCGTCCCAATTCTGTCACCACCCTTAGCGCACTAGTGAGACGCAGGAGGCTCTCAGGGAGAAGACATGCTCTTGGGTTGAGTGAGAGAGCATCTCCGGATTCAGGAGGGAGTGCCTCTGTCCAGAGGGGGGTCTGGGCTGAGTACCGCCTCATTCACCGCGCAGGTGATTGCAACATTACACCACAGCAGGCAGGCGGGTGTGCATCCTGATAAAGGGATTTAGTAAGGTCAGGAAAACCATTGTTTCTCGCTTAAACAGCTTATCAAAATGGAAATTATTTTTCAGCTAACATCAAGAGAATGTCTTATTTCCTTTTTCTTCCAACTTTTAACAATCTCTACTCAGAATTTCCTTTCAGAGATAATTAAAGCTGTAAATTAAGGTTATCCAGAATAATGAGGCTTTCTCTAGGGACAACTGGTCTCAGAGCTGCAGGAACCAAATCCTCCATAACCAGTGGGCTCTGAGACGGAACATTAGGGGACAAAACTGAACCTAAGGTACAATTTATAGTATTTTCAATGACACATATAAACATTTTTCTGTACTCTTTCTGTTTGAAGGAGGCAGTGTGGCAGAGAGCTTGGGTATTCACAGGTCTAAAGTTTAGTTATGCAAGTTGAATAAGTTCTAGAGATCTGCTGTACAACTTTGTGCCTTTAGTAATACAGTATATATTCAAAAATTTGTTAACAGGAGAGATATCATGCTACATGTTCTTATAATAATAATAATAATAATAATAATAATAATACAATACAATACAATAGTGTGTACTCTGAAGCCAGCCTGCTCACATTCACATCCTGGCCCCTCTGTCTCTGTGCTTTAGACTTTGGGTGAGCTACTATTCCTTTCTAAACCTCACTTCCTTCTCACTAAATGGATGGATTATAATGTCTCATAGGGTTGTGATCACTGAGGGAGTCAGAGACAGAATAACGTGGCTATAAAGAGCATGGGTCTGGCGCCAGACTTCCTGGGCTAGAATCCTGTCTCACCACTTACTAATTTAACCCCCCCTGTTTCCTTATTTACAAAAGTGAGATTGTAATAATAACACATTCCCCAGGTGTTTATAAGGATTACGCGAGTTAATACAGAAACAGCTTAGAAAAGTGCCAATATGTAGTAACTGCTCAATCACTATGAGCTCTGATTATTAGATGCTGAAGGGGCCTGCAAAGTTTGAACCGAATTAGGTGAAGAAGAGTAGAACAGGTCCTGGTCCAAGTGCCCTTATAGACGAGTAAGGGAAAAGCATTAGGGCATAAGCTAATAAAAATGAGGTAGAAGATAATAGGAGTTTTAAAAATCGGGCAAATCAAAAAAATGCTCCATGGAAAATAAAGGGGAAGGTTTCCTTTGCTGTGCAGAAGCTTTTTAATTCACTGTAGTCCCACTACTTGTTTATTTGTACTTTTGTTTCCTTTAGTTATGGGTATAAAAGTACAACATAGGGAATACAGTCAATAATACTGTAGTTCTTTTTATGTTGGCAGATAATGACTACACTTATTGGGGTGAGCATTTTATAACAGATAATTGTTGAATCACTATGCTGTACAACAGAAACCAGTATAATATTGTGCATCAACTATACTTGAAGAAAAAAGGATATGAATTTCTAAGGAAAAGTGACAATTAAAGCACAGAGCTTGAAAGGATAGTTAACCTTAATTGTAAGAAAGACATGCAAAATTTATACTTTCTCATTTGGTTGGTTAAATTCTATACAACTTCACAGTTTAAAAGATGGACAAATAATGCTCCATGGAAAATAAAGATGGGCAAAGAGGTTGCTGAGCAGGACCATCTGTATAATTTCTTACAGCTAAGGGACCAAGTGTTGGGAGCCACTCAGAGCAGTGGCTTTCAGAAACAGAAATGCTGCCTCTCCCCTGGCCCTATGTCCTGCCCAGGTCCATCTGGAACTTCCAGGTGTGGGTGGAGAAGTAGTTATCAAAGCTCACTTCCCCATTTCAGCAGATCCCCACGAAGCGCAAAGACAGAGCCCCTGTCTGTTCTGTTTGTGTAGGCATGGGGAAGTAAGGATTTCTAACCACTTCCCTATGGAGCAGGGTAAAGTTACTACTGACTGCAGTCAAAATTCTTTCTCAAAAAGAATAGTTTGGAGAAAGGCTCCATTCTGGATGGCTCTAATAAACTTATAAGCTCTTTTTCTCAGCCTTTGAAGGTTATTAAACAACCAGAGAACTTGGAAATCCCTAAGTGGAGTGCCAGGGTAACCATCCAGATTTGCTGTGCAGGAGTGACTCTGAAAGTTACTGCAAGGATCCGTCAGCCTGGAGTATTGCAGAGAGCAAAGGTTGTGAAGCCAGGCTAATCTTGCTTGCCACCTGCCCCATGTCAGGCAAGTCCCTTTACCTGTGAAATAATGATAATATTAGCTGTCATTATTTGAGTGCTTATTATGATCCAAACATGACATTTGAGGTATTATTCTTCCCTTTTCACAAATGAAGAAAATGGAATTTCAGAGAGTTTAAATGATTTACCCAACTCAGCTAATAAAGAGTCAAGTCTGTCTCTAAAGCCTGTGCTCTAAGGAGCTAGCACCTCTCCCTAAGTGTGGCATGTGGCAGGAACTCAATAAATCGCAGCTCTTACTGACACTTCTAAATCATTTTGATCGTGATTACCATCTGCACCTAAGAATATGGGTTTAAAAAAAGAGAGATAGATGGAAGGCCAATTGTCCTTTTTGCACCAGCACAAATACCATCTTACGGTTTATAAAGGAATATACTTACCTCTTAGAATCATGGTCTGACGAGAGTTCAGCTTCAGAAAGAAAAATTTCATTTATGCATGCTGCATACTTAACATAATAAAGGAACAAGAACACTGGACTAGGAATTAATAAACCCTTTATATTTTTCAAATTTTTATTATCTTACTCCATTCCTTATGTTAAGTCCCTTATTTTTATCCTAATTTAATAAATGAGAAAGCAGTTCCTGGGTGGAGTAGTAATATGTGTGACTTTAACTCATGCATCTGTCTCCCTTTAATGCTTCTGGTCCAACTCCACCAACTTTCGGCAAGACGCTTCTCCGCTCTTGGTCTGGGGTTCTTCATCTCTAAAATGTAAATGGGCTATAGATCATTTGACTTCCATTTTTTCTCTAATGGTCTTCGCATCTTGCAACTATTGGCATTTTTTTTTTTCAGGGATGTCTTTGACTAAAGATGAAGCATGGTTTGGTTGCTTAAATGGGTTGATTGCTTAAAATTGTGCTGTTTTTATCCAACAGTCTTTTTATATGCTTATGGCTATGTACTTGATTACTCTCATAAGATTTGGTACTAAAATAATATTTCCTCAAAGTTTGGTCCTCTGCTATCATTTTGGAGAGTTTTCTGGAAATGGCAATCCTGGGATAAGCAAGGCGGAACCCTCATGCTATCTTCGTTGTCTTCACTCACATAGGAGATGTTCGGAGGGCACTTCCTCAGTCAATAACATTTCCGATTTGGACATTATTTATAGTTGCTGTGTGACTGTCATCTAGGTAACCTCCCAATGACAATGAGATTAGGAGAGCCTGTCAAAGCAAAGGCTATTCTGAGTGGAGAGAGCTGGCTATTCATTTATCAGAGCAGATAACGATTTGCTTGGCAGGAAACTGGTTCTCCCCCAGTGTTGGGTCTCTGAGCAATGCCCAGTTCCAAAAGCAGTCGGAATTTCTTTATTTAAAGTTGGTTAATTAGTTCTAGGCTCCTGGGAGAGGTCGACTAATGATGGGGATGGTGAACTTCAGGCCTGAGCATGGTCAGATTTCTCTGAAGTGAGTTTGTGTTGCGCCAGCGCCGTATTTTGTTTTGTTTTAATGAATTTTATAGTTTTTCTAGTTGAAGCAATTCTCAGCTTCATTTATGTTTATCTGCCTGCTCCTTGAAGGCAGCTGAGCTGTCGTCTCTGAAATAGGCCCCCCCCACACTGTGCTTTCACTGCGTGCTAAACATATTGCATACATCTCATTCATCCTCAGAAGAGAATCATGAGGTAGGTATTGCCGTCTCCTGATTATAAATGAGTAAGCTGAAGTTAACAAGGAAAAATTTGCCCAAGGCAAATAAATACCACCACAGATGGGCTGAACATGAAGTGGGAGCCTTAATGTGGGTTTCCTTAGCTCTGGCCCCAGGGCCTTTCCGGATAAGTGTACTAAGGGCCACTGGATTCTATGACCTGGATTTAGTCTTTCACATGAACAACCGAGACACCACAAGTTTAATGACAGACGTCGTCATTACCTCGCCTTAAGCGGCAGGTGCCATGATCTTGGCTTCCCTGCAGGGATTCCCCTGCATCCACTGTATCATTTCCGAACCCGTGTTTTTCAAGTCACTGTCAAATTCAGTGTGGCCACAATGTCTCTTTAGTTATTATTGAAGGAACTTGCTCAGCGAGAGAAGATCGGTGGAGACGGACCTCGCAAATATCCGTTTTCAAATAGCTGAAAGTTCAGGAAAGATGTCTGGGTCTTCGGTTTCCAAGGGCAGAGCCAGGCCGAGTAGGCCTGATCGGACAAGGCAAACCAGGGTCGCTCCTCAGTTCTGCTGACAAACCCACGCCGGCGGCGCCCGCGTTGTCCCCCTAAGGCACGCAAGCCCAAGGCTGCCCCCTGGCGTCGGGTAGTGCGCCCTCCGCGCTCGCGCCCTGGAGCCACCGCGCGCGAGCGGCCGGGGCTCCCCCTTGGCTCCGGACGCGCGCCGTCGCCTGGCAACAGCGGACGCAGAGCCGGGGACGCGGAGCCAGCCCTTGGCTCTGAGCTCGGCTGCAGCCCGGGTCCGCCTCTGCCATGACCTCCAAACAAACGAAAAAGAAAGAGGTGCATCATATCAACTCGGCGCACGGATCGGATAAGTCCAAAGAGTAAGGGACCGCTGCGTGCCGGGCCGCCGGGCCTGACTCCTTGGCCGCGCCACACGTGCTGGGGCTGCTCCCGCAGCAAACTCGCCAGCGCCGGAGGTTCGCTGGCCACCTCGCGGCTTCTCTGTCCACCGTGGGAATCCACCCACCTCTTCCCGCTGCCCCGGTTTCCCTGCCTGGGGCTGTGCTTCTCCTGGCGCCCAGCCAGGGGTGATTTCCTCTCTGCCCCAGGGCTTGCTCCTACCTCAGGGACCTTGCACCTGCTATTGGAAAGCTCTTCCCCCCACCCTCAACCCCAATTTGCATGGTTTTCTCCCTCACCTCCTTCCGGTGTTTACCAAAAGGCCATTTTCTCATATCAGCTTCTTTGGCCAACTAGTTAAAATCACAGCCCGTGCTTTGCTGACAAAACCAAAAACTTCTCTTTTCCTTTACTTCCTTATTTTTCTTCATTAGTATTTTTGCCTATTTAGCATACTACGTATTTCACCTTTAAAACAATATTTATTTATATGTTGTCCTAGTAGAACGGTAAGTTCCATGAAGGCAGGTATTTTTCTTTTTCTATTTTATGTACTATTGAATCCTTAGTAACTTGGGTGATTCCTGGGTCTTACCTAGTGGACACTGAAAAATGTTTATTTAATGAATGACAGTGGTTAAATAGGAGATTTTAACAGAGTTGCAAAAGAATTTTTGAACACACCAAAAAAGAAAAAAGCTTAGTAATGGTTATTAACCCTCACTGAAGGCTCACAACTCTTACGGAGCTTGGGGAAAATCTTTGACTTTAATGAATTTATATCCTGAAAGAGATGACATTGTTAACTCCCATATTGAAGCTGATCAAACTAGATACCACCAAACACGGTATGTGGCCTGGTTCTGTCATGGTGTATCACCGGATAAGGTACCTGATGGTAAGACGCTAACTCTTTCCTTGCCAATACTTCTCATGTCTTTTTAAGATAATGGTATTTTTAACGTGTTTATTTTTTCTAGAAAATATCTGAGTTGAATCATATCAATAAAAATATACATGTATATTTATGAAAATATGTGAGTAAAGGCAAGTATTTATACAAAGTCTAGGCTTTGCTAGAAACTACTGAGAATTAAACATCAATAATTTTGCTGTATTGTTATATGGTAGGTTGTGAAGTTCATTATAAATCAAGTCTATCTTCTAAGTTTTACTAGAATTAATCACAGATACCAAGTGAAGTCACAAAGGACAAGGTGTCACTCAGCATGGGGCCTGGGGATCAAAGTCTAACAAGGCTCCAGTGTAATTGTCATTTCAAATACACCAGTGATATTTAGAGAAAGTTTTTATATGTCATTTTACCATACCTTGTGCTTACATATCCAATAAATGCAACCAACTCTAGCATGGTCCTAGGTATGAAAATGAGGGGGAAAATCTTCATAGAGGCTTACTCTCCTAGAGCTGCCACCTAGCATGTTTGTTTATTCCCTAAAGGATGTGTCAGATTAGGGACCATGTCTAGCTTTTGCCTACCATGGTGGCTAGCACATAATAAGCATTCACCATTTGTTTATTAAATGAATTTATAGTTTAGTTTCCACACTGGTGTTTCCTTTCTTCTAACTTCACTTGATGCCCAGTTCTCTCTCTCTTTCTGATCTGGTCCAACTTTGGCACAATTCAAAAACTGAGATGTTACAACCAAGAAAGCAGAATGATCTATGTGTAGTTATGACCAAACTCATAAGTAAATATGATCAAATCACCAAGAAAAAGTATGAAGGTAACTGAGCTGTCAGTTTGTACTTTAGATTAACCTATTCTCTATTTTTCTGAATCAGGAAGGATGAAATTTTTGTTATAGGAGTCACCAATTTTCTTGTGACATTGGGCATGTCATTTTTCTATTCTAACATTAAGTTTTTTTCTTCTTTTAATGAAAGGCCATTAATTAAAACTGTCCCCAGTCCAACACACTCTGTCCTTCCGTTTCTGCTTTGTTTTTCTTCAGACTCCAAACTCTCAAGACTTTTCTGATTTTTTTTAAGTCAAATGAATTCATAATAAGTGAGGGAATTTTGCAATAGTTAAATGTTTAAAACTTTGACTTGTTTTTTGAATTGAAGTTGTCATCATTTTAAAATTTCATTTTTGGGGAACAATAATTTTTATTTTCATAACAACTGTCACAAATTTAACTTATTATCAGTATCTAACAATAATTAGAAATATAAACAATTTAAATTAATCAGTTTGAAAACTAATTGGAACTACAAAGATATTTTCACTAGTTAGATTCTACCTGAAGGATTCATAGCGATCCCAAGACAAAATCTGATCTTCTTGGAAGTACTAAATATAAGTCTTTGTGTAGAACATGGATAATTCAAAGGAAGGAGAAGAAGCATGTAATTTAATTATTAATAGTTATTAGAAGTATTAATGCTTACACTTTGAATGCCAAAATATTTCAACCTTCAGTGGGCAGTTTGAGATGGGGACACAATCTGGTATTTATAGTTAACAAAATTTTCTTCCACTTCCAACAGCACATTCAAACCAAAATCAAATACACAGATAATTTATTAAAAACAAGAACTATGCAACTACCTAGACTGCTAATGATGATGAAATATCATTAGACCTCTTTCCGAACAGAATGAAATATATTTCATAATGCTCCTTAATCTATCTTTACTGACTGAAATGCACATCTAAATTTCATAGAATTCTCCAAAAAGATCGACATATTTTTTCTATACAAAAATTTGGAAGTAGGAGTGTTATAGAACCTAATTATGAAAGCATTGTAAAATGGAAGATTATCTATCTACTGAGGATTAAGTTAGATGGGTTCATGGTTATCCACGGTCCAAGAGGCAACTGGTCAAGAGAAACCATGCAATAGTGGTTGGTAGATAATCTATTTCTCTACCTTCAGAGGGCAGAAAATAAATTCCCCAAAAGAGCACAACATAGTAGAAAGGAACCTTTTATACCTCCAGGTCCAGGCCCCATGGCCGCACAGAGAAAGCCAGAGGTAAGAGGAGCAAAGGAGGGAACACCACCGGATTCACACTGAGTTTTGTGGATTCCCCAGATGACCTCTGAGGACCCCAACAACTCAGGTCAAATTACACATTTAAAAGTCAGCTGCGGTAACAGAAAGTTCCCTGAAGAAGACTTGTCTTTATATTAATTTCTCAACTATTTAATAAGCACTTCTCATGTCCAAGTCACTGGTAGGTCTGGGAGGATAAAGAACTGTAGAACCTGGTACCTTCCCTCCAGGGATATGACACCTCAGGTGGCGGGGGGGACAACTAAGATTCACACAGACATTACTCGGAAACATGTGGCAATACCACATTTGTCAGGGGTACTTGTTGGAAGTACTAGAAGGAACCGTGTGTTGGCCTGGGGTTAGATTAGGGAAACACGAGGTTCCTGAAATGAGGCCTGTGTGTGAGAGCTGAGGAAGGCACCTCGGTGGGAGCTGGTCCCTTATCATCTCCCTCTAACAGCCAGTCCCAGTTCTGAAAGGCACAGGCTAGAGAGATGGTTAGTGCAGGCAATGGGAATGTTTGGGGAGCAGAAAGCCGTCCGGGTTGGCTGGGGTAGAGTCTGTGCTTGACTGCTGGCCCACAAAGCATCCAGGATGGGTACGCAGCAGAGCGAGGGGGACGGACCAAGGCATTTGAACTGTCTGTAGTGGGGAAACAGATGGTTTTGAATACCAAAATGATGATTTCTGAGGTGTAATTTCACAACTTCATGGAATTCATGCTGGATTAAGAATCAGGCAGCAAGAAATGAGAGAGGTGATGGTCTGAGATAATGAGGGCATGCCTGATCCTGAGAGCTCCTGATGACAGGGAGGAATCTCTTTAAAGCAGGGTAGAGGTGTGTAGAGCACATCTGTAAGGTGACTAAGGTCAAAAGCTACGATAGTCAAATTTCTTATCTTCAGTTGCAGTGGTAGGAGGTACTGGGATGTCCAGGTGATGAGGCCGGCATGTCTGAAAGGACAAGGAAAAAAAGTGTAAACACAATTCAATGACAAATTTCTAAATGCTTTGCTTTGTTTACTTCCACATTCTTTTCAAGGTCTGATACGATGTGTGCTTAATAAATGTGTGTGTAATTTACTGAGTTGAACTGGAAACCTGGCCTGGCAGCTTGGCCATAAAGCCCTCTGAGTCAGAACCAGAGAGATACTGAGAACCCACAGGGAAGAGGCCCTGTCAGTCACTGCCAGAAGGCAGAGCAACGCTTCCCACAGACTAGGGCGTTGCATAAATGTCTGTTGCATGTTTTTAAAATGTAAAAATCTCCACTGAGAACCCCTTTTAGTGAGCAGAAAAGCACTCCATTAGTCTTAGCAGGGTCTGCCGTCAGTTCTGCCTGTGATATCACCTTAATCTGTGTGTATGTTCAGTATTTCATTAAGATTCGATGTGGTTTAAGAATCATTTCTGGCAGTGAAATGTTTTTTTTAATCACTCAATTTTTAATTTGTTTAGTTTTGGAGAAGAAATGGTTTCCTCTGAATTTACTCTATAGCATGATTAGAAGAATGGAGGTTAGATTGAAAAGATTATAAATATATAAACCATGGAATTTGTACTTCACTGTTACTAAAAACATAATCAAATTATACTTTGAAGCTAATAGTATTGTGCTAATGCTTCTAGATGAGTAATATTGCCTCAGTCAAAAGTTATTATTTAGAAATATTTGACAGATTATTTAAATCAAGGAATCAAATAATCATAAACTGATAATACTAGTTAATGTGAGATAAAATGACTAAAAACTATCTAGGACAGTTTAAAAATATACTTTTGATATGATTTATATAATTTGATATAATTTGTATAATGTGAAAGACTGGGTAGAAGTATTACTAATCACTTTCATCCTTGACAAAGAAGATATGCATATTTTGTCATAACAAGTATCAAGTAGGTGTTTTGAAATTGTATTAGCATTCCTTCCCAGGACAGGACCAGGC